TTAATGAACTATTCCTGTTAGATATTATTATTCCCAAATATTTAACTGTTTTTACAATTGCCATCTCTGATATATCCTTTATCATCCTTGTCTGATCAGTTGAGCAATTTTTTGTTATTATTTTTTGTATTGATTTTTAAACCAGCGACCTTTCCATATTCATGTATTAAGTTAAGTAAATGTGGTAAAGATTCTGTTGTATTTTCTAATATAAAGACCAGATCGTCTGTGAAAGCCAGTAGTTTATATTCCTCTCCTCGTGTCTTTAGACTATGTATCAGCACATTATTTCTTACTGCATCATTAAGCGATTCTAGAGCAAATATATAAAATAATGGAGGCAGTGGACAGCCCTGCCTTATCCCTTTTTGTATCTCAAGATTTGAAGAGAGAACTCCATTTATTATAATACTAGAGATTTCCATGGTTATAATTATGATAAGCAAGCAAATGAATCGATCCTTTTAGTGCTCCAAAGGGGTCATTTCCTGCAGGAGCGCACAGGAGCGGAGCTCCAGCAGTAAAGAGCCCAGGGGGATGGCACATGCAACAAGCCCCACCCCCTGCTCCCAGCAGCCCTCAGTCAGAGCAAGAAGCAGCCAGGTAAGTTGCAGAGCTTCTCCCGGCCCCCCGGTCGAAAACAGTCCACTGGCACCTTTAATACCAAGTTTTATTCAGGTACAAGCTCTCCCTCCTCTGCGAGGACAGATCTGCACGTCCCCCCCCATAGGTGACAATCCAAAACAGTCCAGTGGAGCCTGAGCGGTGGATGTTGCCTTCTGACACACGTCCGGTGATGTCAGGGTGTGTGGCATATGCTAATGAGTTATGCTAATGAGCTCCTGCACCTCTTTTTCTACAAGATGACCCCTGGTGCTCCACTATACTTTTAGTGATCAAAAACCTCTATTTCCCCCCACTATTAAAAAAAAAAGTTTTCTTGAACATCCAGCCTGTGGAAATGTTCTACATAACTCAAAAGCTCAAATAGTGCTTTGTGATCATTGGTTGGCCTGATTATGATTACTAAAAACATTTTATGCTGCCTTTCCATCGGGTCAAGGCTTATCCTGCCCTGGTGCTTTACCTGGCTTTGGTCTCAGTAACTCCCCAAGTAATACACACCACAAAGCAAAAGAAGACTTTATTGAAGATAAGCAAGAAAATACAATAAAACACAGGGGATATAGTTCACTGGCAGTGTAAATACACAAAACAACAATACTGACTGGCTATCTTACTTACTTGGGTCCCAACACAGCAAGCATAGAGTTCCAAAGCATAATTCAAATAACTTCTTGGCAGGGCCGGCCCCAGCTTATTTTGCACCCTAGGTGAGGATCCCTTCTGGGGCCCCGCCCCTCCGTGCGCCCACCAATTTTCAAAAATAAATGCATTTTAGGAAGAATGAAAAACACAAATAATCAAGAAACTCCCAGAGTATGGGGCCGGGTTCAGTTTGGCGCCCCTAAGGGCCATCCTGCTCTAGGCGACTGCCTAGTTCGCCTAGTGAGTGAGCCGGCCCTGCTTCTTGGCAGCAAGGAGAGGTAGGGAGAAAAGGGGATAAGGAGTCTGCTGTCTAAGCATACTCACAGAAAAATGCTGACCTCCTCAACCAATCACTGGGCAGTATCCATGGAATTCTTCAGGGTGAGAGTAAGTTCCCCCTCCCTACCAGAGTCACAGCTGAACTATGTGAGTTAATTAATAGGCCTGAGAAGATGGCCTTGATGAGTAACCACCAGTATGGGGAGAGGCTAACACCTGCAGAGAAGAGACTGATGAATTTAGCTGGAACTAGCTGGAAAAATCTTCTAAGATGGCTTCTCTCTAGATAGTGTAGGGGATGGGATTTAAATCCATAAAGTTTACCCTCTGAAGCTCCCATTTCCTCCATGGGAACTGATTTTGGTAGTCTGGGAATCAGTTGCCATTCTGGGATAACACTGGGCCTTACCTTGAAGTTGGTAATCCTAAAAGTACAATGGATTATGTATATTGCAGTGGTAATTCTGAAATTAGGAACAATATTTCCCAATAGCCATTGCCACCTTTAACTCATGATAAGATCCACATCTGGGGAGGGGGGGATTCTTAGGTGGATCAACCAAAATATGAGAGAACCATGTGCAACACAAAATAGTATAAACTTTCTACTTATTTGGAACAGTAGTCTTCGATCTATTGGCCAGGATCCTCAGGCAAGTCATCGATCCCCAACTGGTGCTTTGCAATCTGCTCTATAAATGCCATGTTTGGCTTGACAGTTTCCCACCTATGGCAGGCAACTACAGGAGAAAGAAATGGGAGGGGGGGTTGTGAAACAACAGAGCAGATGCTGTGAAGTGACTTCCAGTTGAGCACCAAGAAGTGACAACACAGTATCCACAATGCTCTAAGAACTTCCCCAAATCTCTGAAGTCTTCACCATAGAAACTGAGATTTCTAGAGTGTCATGGACATCATGACATCAGTTCCAGGTGCTCACCCAGAAGGGGCGTCACTGTGTCAGCAACACTCCCCCAGGCTCCAGCCCCAGCCACTCAAGGTGGTTGCCAGCAGAGGGCTGGGCAGGCAACCCTAGCAGGACAGGTGAGGCAAGGTGTTTATCAGTAAAATGATTTCTTTACATCTGTGACCCCTGATGTGTTTCTGATCACAGGAGCTTGGCTTGTGATTCCTACCCCCAGCTTTCTTGATCTGCTGGCCCATAGAACTGGCATTGATGCCAGCAGGGTCATATGCCTGCCCTCCTCTTCCTGTCTTATGTTGGGCCCAGGTCTGGAAGGGTTGAGGACCTCTGTTACAGAACTCTTCGTGAGGCTGGATGATCAGTACAAAAAACAAAAAGGGAGGGGGGGAAGTAAGTTGTTTTGAGGCACAATGGCAGACTCTGCATGTGGCTCAAGTGGTTAAGACGCTGAACTGCAGGCTGTGGAAGTAGTTCAGCAGTTCGAGGCCCGAGTTGCCGCATGATGGAGTGAGCGCCCGTCTCTAGTTCCAGCTCCTGCCAAACTAGCAGTTCGAAAGCAAGAAATTGCAAGTAGATAAATAGGTACCACATGTGCTGTGTATTTTGTTGATTCCTAAAAAAAATATACATTTGTTTTTGTGATCTACTTCCTGCATCTGATCAATTCATCTGAGCTTGAAAGCTCATCAGAGCTTGAAAGCTAAGCAGAGTTAGCCAAGGTCAGTACTTGGATGGGAGACCACCAAGGAAGACTGGGATTGCTATGCAGAGGAAGGCAATGGCAAACTACCTCTTTTGATTGCCTAGTTTACCTTGAAGAGTGTTTTTGTTACTGAACATTGTAAAGGATATTTTCAGAGACACAATCTCTTCTACTGCATCATGTCTTTGAGTCTTAATTAATATTGTGAGGTTTAAGATTAGGATAAAGTTAATACCCATGATCTTTTAAAATGGGACTTCTAGTGACTGGACCTAGTATCTTCCGCATGTCACTGAGCCACAGCCACTAATTTTATTTTATATTTTAAAGGAAAGACGTAAAACAAAATACAGTGCAACGTCCTCCTTGAACACTTCATTCAAACAAATTATGGCTGCTGTTGAGTTTTAGTAATTATTATCATTATCTAGACTTCCAAATATGAAGTGCCCAAAATGTATTAGTATAGGACAAATTCACTATGCATGAATCATGATGATTTCATGATAGCCTATCCAACACATATACATTTCTAAACATACTGCTGCATTTTTGTGAAATGAAGTCCCAGCACATCAATGCTTGTTGCTTTCTTTGGACATCAGTAGACGTCTCTGCTCTACAAAGGGGACCTTTCAATCTTTCTCATCGACAGAGAGGTTTAAAGTTTTTTGCCTACAAACAATATTTTAATTACCAGTTTGGGATTTAATAATGAATGTTATACTGGGCAGACCAATCTCTTTCCCCCAACTTGGCTTGCTTTTATAAAAAATTCAAAAGGAGTGAGGCCCCCTGGAATGTGTGGTTTAAGGAGTAGAATTCTGTATGAAATCAAATATTTTGGAGGGTTTTTTGTACTGCTTTTGTGCTTTGGTAGCAGCCTGATCAGCCCAACCTCATCTGAGCTTGAAAGCTAAGCAGAGTTAGCCAAGGTCAGTACTTGGATGGGAGACCACCAAGGAAGACTGGGATTGCTATGCAAAGGAAGGCAATGGCAAACTACCTCTGCTCATCTCTTGTCATAAATGCCCCAAGTATGGGATTGCCATAAGTCAGTTGCAACAAGACTGCATATTATTCATTACTCTATGTTTTGATTGCCTAGTGTTTTTGTTAATACACTGAACATTGTAAAGGATATTTTCAGAGACACAATCTCTTCTACTGTATCATGTCTTTGAGTCTTAATTAATATTGTGAAATTTAAGATTAGGATAAAGTTAATACCCATGATCTTTTAAAATGGGACTTCTAGTGACTGGACCTAGTATCTTCCGCATGTCACTGAGCCACAGCCACTAATTTTATTTTATATTTTAAAGGAAAGACGTAAGACAAAATACAGTGCAACGTCCTCCTTGAACACTGAGATATTACAGTGAAACGTGATATGTACATTTATTACACGATTCTGTGTTTCAGAGGGGAACTGCGTTGGTCTGCAGTAGAACAGCTACATTTGACTCCTGTAGCACTTGAGAGACCAACAAGATTTTGGGGGTATAAGCGTTCAAGAATAAAAGGTCCAAGAGAGCTACTGGACCCGTGTTTGACATTCTGATACGTATGTGATCCTGTACCCAATTTCAAAAGAGAAAGGAAACATGAAAACCAAACTGTTTAGCAGATTTTAATTAGTATGTTTCCTTTAAAATCTATGGTGAAAAAAGGTTACATGAAATAAGAATTCAGCTCAACCAACTTCATTCAAACAAATTATGGCTGCTGTTGAGTTTTAGTAATTATTATCATTATCTAGACTTCCAAAAGCGATATAAACATAGTCAACTTTCTTCCTTAGTAGTCTCTATTCTGGAAGCATTATTTGACAGATTTTCCGATTTCCTTAGATTGTTCTTCTAGGAGCCATGCAAGATTAAACGCTGTAGTATTAGGATCAAGTAGTTTCACAAGTGGTATGTTAACTCTTCGTTCCTGGAAAATGCGATTCTGCAGAGTCATGGCTAACATAGAATCTATGCCATTGGACAAAAGTGATGAATTCATTGCAACATCACTTGGATCTGCACCACTGAGTTGACTCATCAAGGCCATGATATAATCTTCATTTTTTACTGGAGTCAAGTCCTGGGATACAGTTTGCTCTGAAAGCTCAAACCTACCACCACTGAGTTCCATGAGGACTGAATGCATACGATTTCTGAATGCAGGATTTTGAGAAATGAAATAATTGGTCAAATTTTTGAAGTTGAACTTTATGATAGCTTGTTGGGGATTGTTCAGAATTAAACTGCGTTTTAAATACTCATAAAAATCATTCACTTGCAGAATCGCTATACCTTTTGATTCCAAGAAATTTTGAATTTCATTTTGATTTTGCGGTAATCCAAGATTCAAGGCACCCCAGTTAATGGACTGTCCTGCAAGTCCACGGTTTCTCCTGTAATGGCAGAAAAGGTCCAGGAAGGAATTGGCTGCAGCATAGTTTGCCTGCATTGCATTTCCAAGGAATGAAGCAACTGATGAATAACATACAAAATAGTCAAGATCCTGCCCTTGAGTAGCATGGTGAAGATTCATGGCTCCTGCAACCTTAGGACTGAAAACTTCCTCAAAGTCAGATATGGTCAAGGCTTCAATGGATCCATCATGCAAAACCACAGCACTGTGAAACACCCCTTTGATTGGGCACTTGGGAAAGATTTTGCTGACTACACTGATAGCTTTCTCAACGTCAGATCTAAAGATGACATTGCATTGCAGAGCGATTATTTTACTTCTTTTATTCCGATGCTGCAAATCCTTTATTTCTTTCTGCTTCTCAACACCTGGCTTTCTCCGTGAAAGAAACACTATGCCACCTCCTCCATTTTCAGCAATGAATCTAACTGTTTCAAAGCCAAGCCCGGTGAGTCCTCCTGTAACTATGTACACAGCCTTCTCCTTAAACATTTTCCGCTTTCCTCTATACAGTGGAATATCTGAAAAAAGTTACTGTGCACATTACCTTTTAGCATTACAAAGGGGACAGCTTTTCTGGTAAGATGGGATGATGCTGAAGAACCCATGCTCTCACTTTTCCCTGTTTGTTGAAAAACTGAGCAAGGTAATTTCAGAGACTGTTTCGGTTCCAATGACTTCATCCAACTGGAAAAAGGCATACTTTGTTTCTTCAGAGATGCCTTCTGGAAAATGCTGGTAAGACTAAGAATATGAATTTGAAAGTTTTCGTGATCCATTCCGATGAGAGCTCTCAGACACTCTGCATGGCGGTTGTCACATATCACTACCACATCCTGGAGTTTTGAAAGGCTGCCTAAAACAGCTTTGGGCAACCTTTCTAGGGGAGGCAGGAAAATGAGGGCATTGCATTGATCAGCGCATAGCTCCAGATTGCTGTATGGTTGTGTCCTTATGTTTTTCCAGCCTGCTTCCTGAGCTGACAGATGCAGCACTTTGCACAAAACTGACTCTGGTTCAGTAGAAATAATGCCTAAAGATCCCTTCTGCTTCATGTCTGAGTGTTAAAGCAGACTTCCTCTGGGATCCTGATTCTGGAAGATGCAGTAACTGGGTAACATGAAACAATTAGGTCTCCCGCCTTAACCTCTCTCACTTTGCTGCCAGTTGCAACGACTCTCCCGCTGCAATCCAGAGCGAGGAGCCTGTGCTTATCAATGGTCTGCGAATTCCAGTATAATGTGTTTCCAAAGCTACAGCTAGAGACACTAACAGGAAAGTAGTCTTCAGAATGGAGACTTATTTTTTCAATCTGAACTTCAACACAGTGATCATCAATAGGAATGTCAGTGTTATCATCCAGCTCAGCAAATAAGTCCCTCACTTCATACGGGTCAGAAGTGAAAAGACTGAAGAGCTCAGCATTCTGACAAGCTTGAGGAGGTATATTGTCATGCACATCATTGACCAACGAACGTCTGATCTCAGAAACATATATTCTCCCATGATGGATATGGATTTCAGAATAATTATCTTTATATTCTGCTAAAACATCTGCTAAGGCTGAGATGTCCATTGTGCTTGTGGTGCTGATATCAATCACCTGAAATGTGATTTCGGAAACTTCAACCATACAGCTTCGCACCATGCCATACAAAGCAAAGCCAGGACTAATGTGGTCTACAAACTTCTCTGTAGTCCTGTATGTGATGATCTTGATGGAACAATGAATGTTCTTCGCTCTCAAAGCAATAATGATCTGCCGAAGAGCTTCACAGCATTTGGATAAATCTGCAACCACAGAGTCTGGATCACCTTCATTTAATTGTTGGATTCCCCACATAAATAAAACATCACTGTAATCCTGCAGCTCCCGTTTAATTTTTTCCTCTGCAGGCAATTCCAAGCTTCTGGCTTCCAACAAGTTCTCCCAGTCTTTGTACATCAAAAACCTAGAATCTTTATGTAAGAATTTTTGGAGCTGCTTGGAGACTCCTATTTTATCAGCAAACACTGCCACCTTGGGTTTATCTCCTGAGTTTTGGATCATATGGGAATGTGGTATTTCCTTCCATTTATTTTCAAGTAGCACATCATCTCCACTTCTGGAAGTTTCCTTCATAAGAGTAATCCTAACACATTTCACCTCAGCTAAGATGGAACCATGTTTATCTGTAAAGCATCCACAGAACTCTAAGTAGTTCTCTGTAGACTTGCTTATTTTCAGATATATCAACATTTCCTGTTCCAAAGTGTAGTGTATTCTAATGGATTTGAATACATGTATGTGAATCACCGTATAGACATTTCATGTTAAGCTTTGTTCTGGGCTAGGATCCGAATGTAACCTATCAGAACACTAGCCCAGGAAGCAATATCCAATCACCATGAAGAAGCTCCCTCAGCGGGAACGTTTATGATTGGCCTTTATAGGTTCAACTGCATTGGTTGTTAAGTGTACAGTAGGCATGGCTATATTAGCCGGGAATGTTTAAATACAGAGCAGCTGCTATGTTAAAGTGGTTCTGACTGACTGATGTTGTACCGTGTTGGAAGTGAAATCGAGTTGAAGAATAAAAGCCGCATTCTTGCTGAATCACTCTCCGACTCTTTGTTAAGTTCACGACTTAACACAAAGGTCTGACAATTACAAGGCTGTTTATGGAAGACGGAAATCCTACACCATTTTCTGAAGTTTTTGTAATAATCACCCCTGTCATTTGCAGAAAGCAGTCTAAGAGTATTGGATGGATAAAATACTTGTGCATTTCTACTGCAATTTGTTTTTTCACCGTAATGGAAGTAATAGCTTCCTTTAGTTCTTCACAATAAAAAACATCATTTATCTGCTTCATTGTTGAATCATACAAAAATCCAAAGGAAGATAACATTTCATAGATTTCATCGTTGCTGACGCAAGATCTACACCGTTGAAAAATATCTTTATAAGAAATACTCTTTTCTTCAAGTGGTATTTCCTGGTTCCATGTGACATGTCCCAATGCGTAAACTGTACCTGATGGGGACAATATTTTGAAATCTTTCGCTTCTTTTTGCAATTCCACTTTTATTTTCAAACTGTGGGAATGTTCACTTAAAACACATAGTGACGTAAACGTTACCATCATCTCACAGAAATGCAAGGGAACCTTTGGTCTTGCGTTAGTCATCACAGCTGCTAAAGCAAGTTCACAAAAAAGGCACCAGGAACTAGAGTGACACCATTGTGCTTGTGCCCATAGATGTACGGTGTCTGCACCTGAGATATGGAAGACTTGAATTCTGTACTGTCACTGCTGACACTGTGAATTAAAGGGTGGTGGTTTGAGGCTTTGTGAATCGGTTGTTGCAGCATGTTTATGTGAGAGTTCAGCTTCTTACAATCAAACTGGTATCGGGGATATGTTGCTGGCACACTTTGATATCCATCAGAGAGATGTGGCCAATCTGGATTGAACTTGCGTAGCAAGTTTTCCTGTTCCTATTGAGATGGTCTGGTGATTGCAATGACAGATCTTCCATTCTGGTTGACGGCACTGATGCTGATAACTCCCCATATTTTATTGAAATCTTCTTTTGCCTGTTGTTGAAAAAATATGAGGAATGAAGAATTGTTAAGTTTGTGAAAAGTTGGAACAGCAAACATAGAAACTACATTACTACTGAAGTAGCTCACCGTTCCAATAGTCAGATATATTCCACATTTTGTAACATAAAGTATATTTTCAGGTGTGATGGATTGCAAAGAAAAGCAGTCTTTTAAAAATGCTGCTTGTGTCAGACAATGAAGGAGTTCAAGTGTTAATCTTTCATGGAGAGAAGAACATATGTGATTGGCTGCTCTACTTGCTCTCT